AGTATTGGCTGGTTTTGTGTCTGTACCTCAGTGCATGTCAATTCACCATTTTTCATAACAGCAGGAAAAACAGTTGTCAAAGTTCTCTTCCAATCTTTTATTATACAACATGTTTTAATTATCCAGAAATGAAAGGATGCTGCCTATTTTGTCTTGAGGGTTCAAATCTATTTAGCAAATATTTACTGAGGCTATTTGGATCACCTGGCATTATGCCATCTTGTGGGTACTGCTCCTGGTTTTGTGACTTTGAGCAAGTTACTTAAATACTCAGAGCCTTGGTGTCCTTGTCAGATGTATATGTTATTTGTAACATGAGATTAACAATTTACTTACCACTTAAAGTTATTAAAACTAAATAGGATCATGCTATTCAACAAACCAAACAAAACTTGCTCCCCTGCCTGGAACCTAATAAATGATGAACAAATATCTGCTGACATAACAACGATACCGATATGAAATTGATAAAGTTACATCCATTGATTCGGCAATTGATACTGACTACCAACCATAAATCAGGTTTGTAATCAGTAAATATAAAGACTATAACTCAGGTTTATGTCCTTGGGACACATTAGTGAAAAAAAGATTTAAAAATGTCTCTTGGCTTTGTGGAACTTACATTATGGTGTATCAAGCCACTCTTTACCACTTGGTTTGCCTTGGAATCCTGTGAAGAATAGTACTTACTGAATACTTGTTATTAGGTCCAATAGCAACTTAAAAAAAAATCAATAAATAGGGGAAAGTCTACTGGTCAAAAAACATCCAAGTTTTATATTTTAAATATGGCAGTTAGATTTCTAAATCATCTTTCTACCTAACAGTGAGGCCTTATGATCTAGGGTGAAACTAACCAGATTTTCCAATTTAACAATAAAGCCATATGCCTGACAAGGAGAGTTTGCTTATGAAACAGAGTGTTTGAATTGGGGATTGTGTCCGAAAGTCTCACACATATGGTGTCCATATCTGTGAAATCACCCAGGGGAAATTATAAAGAGACACATCCTGTGTGTCACTCCCTGAGATCAATGTGGTCCCTCAGTTAGGCTGGCTCTGAAATGTGCCTTTTGCCCTTTGGCCTGAGCTGCGATTGCTGCGTGTGTCATTCGAGGCAGCCATGCGGTACCTCGCCGAAATATAAAGGTTTGATTTTAGCCACATCACTGCAAATTACTAGCAACTTTTCTTCCCAGGCTTCAAAAGGACATTCTGTAGACTCCTATGATGTAAGAGGGTGTTCCCACTTCAGCTGTGGCCAGCAGATGCTATGTGAACACCCTCTGTCCACGTGCTGATAAAAGCAAGGAAAATGTGAATAATGGAAAAAGAATAGCAGGCAGTTCTTTTGCTGGCTGTGGTGATTTTAAACACAAGGGAAACACACACTTCAGCTTCTCCCTGGCAGAGGGTTTTAGTCCCCTTGAAAATTTTCACTCTTGTGCGAATGACTCATGTCTCAGACACAGACAAGTTCCAAGTCTGGTGCTCCCAGCACCTTGAGGCATTGGTCAACGCACCCTTTGGGAGTTTGCAGCATCCCACCAGCTGTTTTCATTAACGGGATGCTGTGCTCTCTTGCCTTGCACTGAAAACTCAGCAGTTCACCATTCCCCAGAAGCTTGAACTTTCCATGTGTGCTGTGATTGCCTTTATCAAGGCTCATGTGTTACATATTATGGTGTCCTATATAAGTGCTGGAAGTGGAACACACATTTTTTTTTTAGCTTCCTTGTTAGCTAACTCTTTAAACTACATTGCATTTCTGGCTTTTAAAAACACTCTCACAGACACTGATTTTGCTCCTCAGTGCAGCTCTGGGCGGGGTTATTGACAAGTACTATCATCTCTATTTAACAAAAGACAATAATGTCCATAAGCTTGAGTCCTGGTCCCCAGGCTACATTGCATGGCCTAGGTTATATGCATACTGGGTAAACAAACAACTTGAATTATTGCTTGATGTCATAAGAGTCCAAGGCAGGCATTCCTGATTGGCGGCTGGCCCCTCCCATTTGGCAGTTCAAGGACCAAGCTCCCTCTCCTTGTGGGCTGTGATATCTATCCCCTAGGACGCTGTTGATATGAGCATGGACGGAAAAGAGATTGCAGGAGGCCCACTCTACTCTCCTTTTAAAAAGTCTCTATTGGAAGTGGTCCATCTCCAGTTTCCCAAGGCTGGACCACCACGGCCCCACCATGCAGTCTGTGCTCCAAAGGAGAGGAAACACAATTGATGAGCAGCCCGCTAATGTTTCCCAAAAGTATGATTTGGATTCAGCCAGGACCACCTCAGCGTATGGTCCCAGGGACTAGAATGTGAATGCTGCCTCTTTGAGCTGCTCAACCGGATGGCCACATGGCTAGTCACAACCAAGATCATACTAGGTGCTATGTGGACATGCAATGTGAACTCTTTTTTTTTTTTTAAATATTTTTATTGGGGAATTGGGGGGATGGGAACAGTGCTGGGGAATTGGGGGAAGGGGAACAGACAAGTTGCTGTCATTTCGTTCTTCAGTCTAGTTGTGGAGGACGTTGCTTCACTTGCCCAAGTTGGCACCATCATTGCGCTCTTCCCGGGCGAGGCAGGTCAGTCACCAGCTTCTGGACGGCCGCTCACTGTGGCTGCTGGCTGCTCACGCTGGCTGCTGGCTACATACAGTAGCCCATGGCAACCCACTGCTACAGGGGCTGCAGCCTATGCGGTCGCTGGCGACTCACAGCAGCCCAGCTCCAGGTTGAGCTGTTGTTCAGCATCTTAGCTGTAGAGGGCAGTGTCACTGGCCCTCATATGTGGGATCTGAACCGGGGCCCTCTGGCATCCCAAGCCAGTTCTCAACCATCGCGCCACTCTGCCGGCCCTGCAATGTGAACTCTTAATGTGGACTAGGACAATATAGATGGCTTATCCGGCAAGAGATTTTGCAGAGATAAATTCTTAGCCTAAGTTTCCATGTAAAATACATTTACTTAGCTTTCAAAAACTAGTTGAATTAGAGAGAAAGATGAAGCATTCATTATCTATAAATGTGACAAAAACGTGAAGTTGGTGTAAATCGTTGAAGATGGGGGCCTTGCATTTATACTAATTGTATTCTTCATTATACTTGGAAGAGGAGGAATATAAGCTTTCGGGGGGAAAAACAAAACTGTGATAATTGTGATTTATAATAAAAAATATACAATTGAACCCTTGAATAATTCAAGGGGTGGGGTGCCCACACAGTAAAAAATCCCAGTATAATTTAAATTGGCTCTCCACATTCAAGGGTAGAAAATCCATGTATAAGTGGACCCACACACAGTTCAAACATGTCTTGTTCAAAGGTCAACTCTATTATCTGGTGTAGAGCTCCTAAAATCTTTGAAATTTCCTAAATGATGAGAGCCATGGAGGTGTCTTTTGTTAAGTTAATGAGGTGACTTGGAAAGCACATATGGATGGGGACTGGTTGCCAGTGGAGCCAACCATGTGATTGGAGGATTAGAACATCCGGTCCCACCCCCAGACCTTTTGGGAGAGGAGAGGGCTGGAGATTGAGCTCAGTGGCCAATGGCCAATGATTTAATCAATCGTGCCTATGTAATGAAGCCTCCATCAAAACCCAGAAGGAGAGGGTTTGGAGTGCATCTGGGTTGGTGATCTGGGTTGCAAACTCAGAGGCGGGAAGCTCTGCACCCTTTCCCCATACATTGCTCTATGAATCTTTTTCATCTGGCTGTTCCTGGGTTATATATCTTTTTACAATTAACCAGTAATGTAACCAATAAACCTGAGATGTAAGTAAATGAGTTTCCAGAGTTATGTGAGCTGCTCTAGCAAATTATTTGGACCCAAGGAGGGGCCATGAAAACCTCTGATTTATAGTCAGTTAGAAGTACCTGGCCTTGAGATTGGCATCTGAAGGTGGGGGGCGGAGGTTGGAGCTGTCTTGTGGGACTGATCCCTTCACCTGTGGAACCTGACACTTATCAGGTAGACAGTGTCAGAACTGAGTTAAATTGTAGGATGCCTAGCTGGTGTCCAGGGACTTGCTTATTGCATGTGTGGGAAACCCCCTCCCCCACACACATTGGAATTGGGTCCAGAAACCTGAAAAGAAAGGTCTACCAGGCACCTCTTTTTTATACTTAGCATTGGAGATGCTTTGGCAAATAGCGGAAAATGGTCGTCCTGTACTCCAGTTGTTCAAAACCTTAACAGGAGATACAAAAACCATAAGGAAGAGCACACAATTGGCTCAGCTGAAATGTGTCTCAGGTCTAAAGTGTTACAGCTTTTAAGAGGACGGGAAACTTACCTGCTGAAAAGAAGGGTGATGCTATTTCTTCCTTATGACTTCTTTCTCCAAACATTTATTGTGTGCTTACTGTGTTCCAGTAAGGTCCCCGCTCCCCAGGATCTAACCATCTGTGTTAGTGATGGTCTGTGGAGGAGACGGCCCTCTGAACAGAATAATGCAATTCAGAATTACAGGGGCGTTGATGGATGACTGTGTGGGATACCCAGACATAAAGCATTTTTATTGTCAACAGAGACTTTGGAAATAATGGAGTCTAAACGCCCTCATTTAGCAGATCAAAACAACGGAAGCCCAGAGAGGGAACCTCTAAAGGTTACACAGCTAGTTTATGCAAGAGCTGGTACTAGAATCCAGGTATCCTGCTCTCCAACCACAGCTGGCTGCATGGAAAGGGTGTGCGCTGAGGAGAGGTTTGCCCTGGAGATGAGATGAAATTACACATGAGCTATGTAGCAAAATCTCTGGTGGATCTTTTACTAGTCAGTATTGGGGGTGAGGAGACAGCATGGTGTAGGAGAAAAGATTGCCTTGCTCACTAGGAAAGTTTGGATCTACGCCTCCCTAGCTCTGATGACATACATAGAATTCCTGGGTGCTCCTGCTCTAATACTGTTCCCACCATACCGTGTATATAACATGTGTGGGACAAGAGTCATTCACCAAGTGTTTTATCTGATTATATTACAGATGCATTGTGAGAGGTTTCTATGCATCCTGAGAATAATTGGAACCACGCTTTTTGGAGTCTCTCTCCTCCTGGGAATCACCGCTGCTTATATTGTTGGCTACCAGTTTATCCAAACCGATAACTACTATTTCTCTTTTGGACTCTATGGTGCCTTTTTAGCATCACACCTCATCATCCAAAGCCTGTTTGCCTTTTTGGAGCACCGAAAAATGAAAAAATCCCTGGAAACCCCCATTAAATTGAACAAAACTGTTGCTCTTTGCATCGCTGCGTATCAAGAAGACCCTGACTACTTACGGAAATGTTTGCAATCTGTGAAAAGGCTCACCTACCCTGGGATTAAAGTTGTCATGGTCATAGATGGGAACTCGGACGATGACCTTTACATGATGGACATTTTCAGTGAAGTCATGGGCAGGGACAAATCAGCCACCTATATCTGGAAGAACAACTTTCACGAGAAGGGTCCTGGCGAGACGGAAGAGTCCCATAAAGAAAGCTCGCAACATGTCACCCAGTTGGTCCTGTCCAACAAAAGTATTTGCATCATGCAAAAATGGGGTGGAAAAAGAGAAGTCATGTACACGGCCTTCAGAGCACTGGGACGGAGCGTGGATTATGTACAGGTAGGTTTCCGAATTCCTGCCAGGGCAAACATACATTTAAATAAAGCAGCTTTTGTATCTTTCCAGTCGTATGCTTATAGCCCATCCTTGTCACTTCTGAACACAGTACTCCTTTCAGTTCATTGGAAAACAGCATGACTGTTGAAAGCACATTTGAAAGGGAGAGAGAGAGAGAAAAAAAAAAAAGCTTGTAAAACTGTTAAGACTATCTATGAAAATGCTTAACTTGTGCAGTGTTATTGGTTGGAAATTGAGATTATTTTGAACAGGAGACCCTGCCTTCTTTTCTCTCCCCTTCCCTCCTTCCCTTCTCTGCCCTCTTGGTTCTGCCAAGTCAAATCCAACGTCATTTTCCACACTCTTAAAATCTCCAGCCTTGTAAGAAAATAGTGTCTGCTGAGCAGAAGGGTCTTGAGAAACTCTGCAGCAGGCCCGAGGGAAGGCTATAAAATGTGTTTCGTGGAGACACGGCAAAACGGGGGTGATGAGAACAATTTTGACTGAAAAGGGTAAGGAATTCAAAACTGAGACAGAGAGAAAGAAGAGGAAAATGAAAAAGGGAGAAAGAAAAAAAAAAAAAAACCTTCCCAGAGTAAAACTCAAAGTAATGTTTATTTCACTCCCCAAACAGCATTACCTCACTCACTGCAACTTGACCTTTGAAAGCATTTGTGATGGTGTTTGCTTGCATGAAAATTAGACAGGCTGGTCTCATTAATCTCCTGACTGCTCATTCTAGGGTTTCTTTCTCCTCTTCTAGTTCTTATTGAAACTTTCTTCTTTAGGATCTTAGTAGGGTCTCTGTGAATTTTCTAGTCATAAAAAATTTTCTGAAAACCCTCATACTTTAATTAGATTTTGGCCATGGAGAAGGGAGAAATGTCTCTGGTTTATAAAAAAAATCCACTGGGACACTTGTCCCCTTCTCTTAAAAGCACAATCCTAGTTTTCAGAAGCCCCATCCTATGCCTTGGGGACATTATTGCTGCACAGTCATGTCCAGTGGGTGTCTGTAATGGGATGACAAGGGGCACTGGCTTTAGAGTCAGTTGATGGAGGCTCTAATGCAGATATTGTTACCAACTGGATGACTGGGCAGGACCACCTCCCTGAGCCTCAGTATTCTGGATAAAATAACCAGTCTCACAAGGGGTTTGAGGTAACGATTTCAAAAAATGTTAAGTAAAGTGTACAAGAGTTACAAAAGGTAACAAAAGTTGTTAATGAAGGTATTGTTAATATTATGAAAACGTTTGTTAATTTTACTCAAAAATGTTTGTCCATATTCATCACTACCATGGGGCTAATTTTGGTTCATCTGAAGAGTTTTGACGCATTTCTTCAATTGTTACCCATCTGCATATTTATTGATCTCCGTTTTAGGGAGTTTATAGAGCTTCAACGTCAAGTTTTTCCTAATTTCTAAAACTTTCAAAAAATTAAGGTAGTTTCAGTTAACAGGACATTTTTACCTATTTATATAGTGTGACTTCAGGCCCAGACAAGGGATGAAATGACCCATTTCAAGGAAGGGGTGACTGGGGAACTGACAGAGGATTTGAAGAAGGAAGCTTGGGGCCTAAAATGAGTAACCATCTGTTTTAATTTTTTTTTTTTGCTTTTAATTCTAGTTAAAACAATTGCTACATTTGTCATTTCTAATCAAGACATGGTTTTGTGGGTTTTCTTCTTTTTTTAAAAAAAACCTGCTCCTCCCAAACCCCCTTCTCTCATCATTCTTGTTTTGAATTTTGTTTGTATCCTTGACAACTTGACATTGTGCCTGTCCAGGAAAAAAGAACACAAAATCTAAAATACTGGAGTAGGTTTTTGCTGGAGCCCTAATTAGGCTGGAGAGCTTTCCTTCCTCCAGGCTGAAGCCTCTGGATAGACTGATGGGAGCAGCAGCTGGTAACCCTCCTGGGACTCGCAGTCCATTCCAAACGCTCAAACAAGGGTAAAAAATCTTGTGGCATTCGGTAACCAGGTAATTCCATCCTGCCATCTCCCATCAAATTCCCCAACATTTAACGATGTGTGCCCTATAAAAATGGAAATGTCATAAGGTGCAAACTGATATGCTATCACCTAACATTCTGAGTGACCCAGGCAGGGTCTGAGGGTTTCAGAGTAGAAACCACAGAGAAAGACGAAAGAGAGCCGGGTGGAAGATGTTGGCCACTCAGCATTACAAGCGATTGAGCGATCGAACTTGGAGTTCAGGTCGATTAGGAAAGGAAGGAAGCAAAATTCAGGTGCTAACACACAAGAGAAAATGGGGGCTAGGGGAAGAAACTGACCATCTGGTCACTTATTTGCTGACCTGGCTGGAGAACACTGCTTAACTGTGCAGAGAAATGGCCAGAATGATTGGTTTCTAGTTGCAGCTGGGTCTTTGGCACTGGTCTCTCTTTTACTTGATCTTGAATAGATGTCTTGCTTACTGCTCTCATGACCTATTATTTCATACCTTCACCACTCTTCCAGCTCCCTACCCAAACTCCTCCCTGCTTAACTACTACCAGATGACTTTGTATCTTATAAAAGAGAAAAATCGGCAGTACTGGTTCTGAATGCCACTGAGATCTTTACTCTCTCCTGCTTCCAGGTTCAAGGATTCCCAACCTCACTTCCTATCTCCAGGTTAACCTTTCTACCTACACTCTTGGGAATCTCTGGGTCGGCTCCCTCTGGTCTCCTCCAGAACAAAGCTTTACATCAATTACTACCTCTCCCTCCATCTCCTTTCATTTCTACTTCTCTGACTACCCTCTTAGCTTCAAAGTCCTTCACATAATTAAAAATGAAAGGAATATGGGGGAAAGCTTTAGTCTACGAGAAAGCCAATGAGTGTGGTAGCAAATGCATGTATGATGCTAGTGGGTGCTTTGTGAGATGGGAGGAGCTAGAAAAACAGAAGAAGAAAAACAATAAAATGAGAAAAGAAGATGAAGGAAATGAGAAATGAAGAGAATGAGGAAAATTTTCTTAGTTTTGAATCAAAGTATTTTTGGGGGAAACTTACTTCTTTATTTCAAAGTAGGACAGACCCTGACCTGTCTGGGTATGGCTTTATTAAGTAAGGTAGGGCATATGTCTTTTTTGTTTTTTACCTTTGAAAATAGTACTTACAATAGCTTTTTATTAACCAAAGTAACATGTTTGTGGTAATATGTTTTAAAAGTATAGAAAAGCATATTGAGCTAAATTAAAATCAGCTGCATCACAGACATGACCCATAGATTATCAAATTTAATACTTTCCAGTGCATACCTTTCTATTTTTCCCTTATTTTAAAAACATTTTTGGGATTATATTGACATTTTTGTGCATTGTTTTGTACTTAACAATATCAGAAGACTTTAAGTATCCTTTGATATCTAGATTATATAATTAATTGCTTTATTCATATCTCTTAGCACCAAACATGGATGATAAGTGGCCAACATAAAGTGGTCATCAGTCTAGGCGACAAAGGAAAAACTAATATTCCCTGATGTGTGCATTATGGATTTCGCAGCTAGAAAATACACAATAAGTATGAACATTTTCTAAAGGGAAGAATAGGCAATTTTATTATTAATTTAATCTGGCAGCATCCTAGGTACCCAAGATTCTTTGAGCAGCAGAAGAGATTAAGTCATTCATAATAGAGTTGACCCTCGTTTTTCATGGATTCTGGATTTGCAAATTACGCTCTTCACTAAAATGGATTTGTAACCCCCAAATCAATACTTGCTAGTGCTTTTATGACCCTTTGCAGATATGCAGAGTGGCAAAAATTTGATTCACTCTGTTATGTGCATGTTCCCAGCTGAAGCCACACAAGACCATGCTGTGCCTTTTTGTTTCAGCTTTTATACTGTTAACAGGTAACTTCTTCACAGTCTATTTAGCATCATATTTTTCACATTTTTGTGCTTGTCATTTGTGATGTATCTGTTTAACATGGCTCCAAGTGTAGCGCAAGAAGGCTGTGATTGCCTGTGGAGAAAACGTTTGTTAGAAGAGCTTTGTTTAGGCGTGAATTATAGTGCTGTTGGCCATGAGCTCAATGTCAATGACACACACACACACACACACACACACACACACCCACACACACACACACACACACACATAGAGGGTGTCAAAAAATGTATACACATTTTAAGAAAGGAAAATTGTATTAAAATTGTAATACTCAAATATACCGATAGCAAAAGATGAATACAAGTCACATTTCACTTCTGCAATTACAAGAGGTGCTCAGAGTGGTTACAATCAGCGTCCAGACACTTCTGATTACGGCAAACTACTGCTTGAGCAACGCTGACCAAAGTGTCCACTTGTATACATTTTTTTGGCATCCCCGATATATACACACTATATATAATATACTATATATTATATATACTATAATATAATTAATATACTATATATAGTATATTAAAACAGAAACAAATAAAACAAGGTTAGGTATTGATCAGCAGACAAAACTTAACCCTGTATTTCTGCTAGAAGCAATTTTTTGGTATTCGCTAATTCAGTGTTCCCAGGAACTTTGTAGAACACAACTACTGTGAGTAATGAGACTCCACTGTATGCAGTGTTTGATTGGTTCCTGCATAGGAAGCCTAAGCAGTGGAAATATTCTGAGGACCGATGCTGAGAGTGTTATATGTCTCTTTGTATCCTTCATTTTAGAGGATAAGATTAAGAGCACACTGCAGTAGAAATGGGGAACTTTGAATTCTAGACTCAACTCTGTTTACGTGCTGTAGAATAAATGCTCAGTGGACTGCTGTCCTTAGTTTGTGCCTTTAGTTTTCATCACTTCTTAGTGTATATGTCATCCTTTTATTGAGCACTTATTATGAGCCAGCCATTATTAAGTGCTTTACATACATTCTCTAATTAACTTACCATTACAACAATCTGATGAGGTAGATATGATTATCCATATTTTTCACCTGAGTGATGGAGGCTTCAGAAAGTGAAGTGAGGAGTTTAAGGTCAAG